ATTACACCTCTAAAGATGCCCTGCAGGCACAGGATGTCAACATGATGTCATATTGATGTTGTACCCCAACTATATAAAATTCAATGTGAATTTTGTTTGGAAATGAAAATAGGGTTTATGTCAGAACCCAACGTCAGGCTGACTTCAATGTCCAACGTCCAACCTAAAATCAACCAAATATCAACATCTAATCATGTTACACCTTGACATTCTGTGGACGTTACCACTATATACAAGACGTTGGATTATGTTTACTTTCCAAAACAACCTAAAATCAACCAAATATCAATGTAATTTGGTCATTATCGGACGTCAAAATAACATTGTCGTTAGAGGCTGGCTAGACATTGAATTTTAACCACCTGACATCACAACCTAAATCTAACTTAATATTAACGTCTTATGATGTTGTGTGCCTGCTGAGTGAGCACTTTATTCAGTTCAATAGTATATTATTGAATATTGCAGCATCTATATTACTAACAACAAACAATACAGTTACAGTATTTAATAAACTAAAATAAAGCCATACACGGTTAGCTGAAAGACTATAAAGTCTATTGTATAAACTCTAAATGACATACTTACTAAATGACATTTTAGTGTGATAAAAGTGTGACAAAATATTGTAAGTCATAGCAATTGTAGTAAAGTTATTTATTTTAAATAATTAAGAATGTAAATTTAATTCAAAGAAGCTGTTTAGTCCTAAGGACACCTAATTTATATAAAAAATGTCTTAACAAGACCATTGAAAATTTATAAAACATTTGTCTTGAGTGAAAGTATTAATATTTTGCAATGTGGGTGAAATTGTGTCATAAAAATAGAAATGTGGTATGCTCTGCTTATAAATTATAAAAGTATCTTCCATAGCACTGGAATGAAATTCCCAGTTTGCTACTATTATTGAAAAATGAGACAAACAAGGGCTCTCAGTGTTAGCACATGACTAGCTCAGAAAAGAGACGAATACAATCGAGAATAAACATCGTAAATATTTGCTGGGGAAATCAGAGCAGATGTTTGTCCAGTGTACCAGAGACTCCTTTATTATGAATCTCACAAGCTGCGACAAGCCCTGCTGTTACACAATGAATTCTTCATCTGCTCTTTCATTCTTTAAAGGGGAAGTTTCCCCAAAATTTAAAATTTATCACCGTTTACAGATATTTTATTTGATATCTGAAACTTGTTTAACTAGTACAGCCTCACTATGATGATGAATGATTTGTTGTATTCCTAATTTGTAAGTAGCTTTGAATATAAGTGTCTGATACACCTTTAGCATCAAGCTGATCTGTCCAGCCTGATCTCACGAGGAAACGCAAGTTTTTTTTTTTTACGTTGTGTCAGTTTAGTCGCTAATTCGTTTGAGTTCAGTCGTACGAAATTGTACCATTTTAAAAAAGGAGTTGTGGCACCCAACCCCACCCCAACCCTAATCGTCGTTGGGTGATGAGCAAATCGTACTAAATAGTATGAATTAGATCATACAAATGAATACGAATTAGCCACTAAATAAAAAAAAAATTACGAATTGCCGTTAGATTACATTGGATCTGTCTTATATAGTGCTTACTGGAACAAGCTGACTCCTGATGATATTTTAGGCAATGATATTGATTGTTCTATATATGTAAACCCTTCAACTCCACCAACTAAAATTTACATAGTCATGTTGTTTACAAAAAACATATTCTTTATACATTGAAAGTAAAATAAAACCTTTTCCCTCTTTATTGTTAAAATCCAAATCCTGTTTTACAGTTGATCAGACTTTGCTGATGAACAACAAGTATTGGATTATCTGTACATGTTATTGGATGGTTTAACAGATATCTTTCAAATCCACAATTTCTCAAAGAGTCTTAAAAATTATTTTTGATAATGAGTTATAGTTTGACAAGCAAAAAAATTCTGTAGTCAGAAGTGGTTTCTATCAATTAGGTAACATTGCTAAACTGAAGCCTTTTCTCTCTTCTAAGGATTTGGAAACCATCTTTAATGTTTTTGTTATATCCAGATTAGTCTATTGCAATTCTTTGCATTCAGGAGTTTCTTCAATTGTATGCCTAAAGCTGGTTTAAAATGCAGACATAACCTTTTAACCTTCTAAGTTGCTAGCATTTCACCAGTTTTATCCCTCACTGTCTTCCAGTCCAATTTAGGATTCAGTACAAGTTATTGTTATTTGTTTTTAAAGGTTTGAATGGTCTGACAACTTACATTCTTCCCTGGCATACTTCATCTAGAAAAAAATCATCTTCTGTCTTTTGCGTTTGATTGCAATTCATTTTAACAAACAAACAAACAAACAAACAAACAAACAAACAAACAAACAAACAAACAAACAAACAAACAAACAAACAAACAAACAAACAAACGGAAATCAATGTGCAACAGAAAAGCTTTTTTTCTCTACTGAATGTAGCTAAAGGTGTACCAAGGGGATCCGTACTAGGGTCTCTTTTTACTATAATATTGATCAAAATGTCAAAAATACAATATTTTATTATTATGCTGATGATACAGTTACTGTTGATACACATCTGCATTCACACCCATTCTGGCTTCTTCTCAGTTACAGCTTGCTTTTAATGTAGTTCTTATTTGCTCCAAAACTGGTTTCAAATGCTGACAAAACAAAACCTATGTTGCTTTGTGTACTGTTACTCTTGGCCAGAATGCTCTTGTAGAAGAGATTTTAAATCTCAATGTCCTTTTTCTTGGTAAAATAAAGGCTGTACTTATAATAATAATGATGATGATATTTATGGTGATTCAATTAAGCCTGTTCATCACACAAAAAGTTATTCCACCAGTTAAATGGTTTAATTTTAGTGAATACAATATGAAGTCTACAACTGGTTGTGAATGCATTATAAACACTGCAGTACATTAGCATAGAGAATAGAATACATAACTTGATTAAAGTTCTCCTTATATCTACAAATTTTTACCTGTATTTTTTTATTTGACCATATTTTATATCATATCATAACCACTTCTCTTTATATTAAGTTGTATTCATATTAGGCTTAGTAAGTATTAGTAACAGTATTAAAGAAATAATGAAATTAATTAAGAAATTAAATCAGGAAAAAATAGTCCCGGAGAAATAAATTAAACAAACAAACAAACAAACAAACAAACAAACAAACAAACAAACAAACAAACAAACAAACAAACAAACAAACAAACAAACAAACAAACAAACAAACAAGAACAGAGAAAAAGCTATGACCTGCTTTCATGTCTGCTTTAGTTGTTCTACAGATGGCTGATAATGAATGTGATAGACAATTTATGATGACAGAACTTTAAAATTTTGCATTAAAATTCCATTAAGAGCATTTGCCTGTCCTTTCAAACAGTCTGCAAAGCTATATTTATGTAATAAATTAGAAGAAAACTGAGAGCAGAGAAATTACTACCTTTTGTGAAAATGGGAAAATAAGTGTCCTTTGTTGAGTGTTCTTAAACACTTTATTCTTGCAGTGTACACAATGTTCTTCTATTTACCAAATGCCAGCTGATAGTTTATTTTAAGACCATTGTTTTTATTCTGTTTTCTGAAAGTGCAAAAAAAGTCAACGTCATCTCCGTTGGGGAATATAGTTGGTCTGAACAATATACAATACTGCTCTGCTTTACTTCACCACAATACAATAATTTATAATTGTGTTGGAGCCTTAAAGGGACAGTTCACCTAAAAATGAATTTCCTAATCCTTTCCTCACCCTCAAGTGGTTCCAAATTTCTCATGAGTTTCCTTTTTCTTTTGAGCACAAAAGATTTTAAACACATTATGGATCTATACTCACCCTGGAATGACCTGAGGGTGAGTATATAATTATTACTATTCTTAAATTTTTAATTACAGTATTTGGGAAATAAGATCAGCTGTTCTTAATAATTGTCCTGTTTGCCCAGAATTTTCAGTATTACGAAAAAACTATATTAGGTGAATAGCCATTTACGTTGCACTTGTGGGTGACAATGAATTAAAACACACTGGTAATCAACATCCTTCAAAATATTTTCTTTTGTTTATTACATTAAAAAAAAAAAAAAAAAAGTTAGCCAAGCAAAACTGAAATGACCTGAGGGTGCGTAAATAATTCAATATTTTAATATTAGTACAGTTGTGCTAATTAGAAAATCTGATAAATGAGTTGAAAATGCTAAAATGATTTTATAGTTTTCTTCTTAAATTTTCCTAGAATATACAGTATATTATTGCAAAAACACTTGCATATACCATGTTGCCTTGTTTATTAGTTTGAGGCTTTGTATGGCTGCAATCTGTTGCCAATAATCTAACTTACATCGCATGTAAAGCTCAAGCACTTTTTGTTGATCGCTTCAGGTAAAAGCATCTGTTAAATGCTTGCAACATGAATCACATTACAGTCATAAAACCTGGGAGAAGCGCCAGGAGTCTATCACAAGGGGGCGCTGTGAAGCCTACATGATGGAGACGAGCAGACAGGCACATGAAACGGAAGACAGGCAAAAGAAAGCGAGGCTGAAGGAGGGTGACGACTCTGGCATGACAGAGGTGTCACCTTGTCATACAATATTTAACTAAACACCTGTGAGATGATATCACATTAACAAAACACTCCAGTCAGCCGTTTACTCTTTAGTATTCTCACTAGATCTGAAGGCAGCACAGACTCTCTCTGCCTTCACTTGCCTACCAGCACTTTTAATTGCAGCTCGTTTAAAATTCCAAACGAAAACACGCACTGAAGAGAGGAATATAAAATATGGTGGGTTAACAAATAAGGCATTAACCCGCACCTAATTAGTATGGGAATTCGGTGGGGGAATTTTCAGAGTTAAATCACTCATAACTCAAGCACCATTAAGCCACATTAGTGCATTTTTTGCTTTGATATCTCTATTCAGAGAACATTAGCGCTATCTTCACAAACTGCTGCACCGTAATTAGACAAACGGTGGCGGTAGTCAAAGCGGCTAAAGCCTCCTACCTTCCGGATGCCTTCTTTTGATTCCTCCACGTTGTTTTCGGCTCCTCCTGTCCGGTTGATCATCCGCCACATCTGCGAATACATCGGGTCTCGTTCGAAAGGGTTCATTCCTTTACTGCGAACCTGGTCATAGACGGCAGAGTCCAGAACCGTGCCGTATGGCAAATCTGTCTGCTTAGCCAAATCTTGCAGTGACCTGAAGGGGAACAATGAACGATTCAAAATGAAAATAAGCAATGAATGGTGAGCTGCTGATTTTTTTTTTTTACATAAAGTACATGCAGGGTGTCGGGCGTTTTGTCCTCAAAAAGTTCTTGTGTGTAGCACACATGCCATATAAATTACTTTGCTTTGTTTTTATCAGACTTTGATTCACAATTTTCACTATTAACTACTGGCGTATTACTTGCTTATTATTAAGATTTTGTTTATTTATTAGCACTTAAAGTGTGATCTTATTCTAAGTACTGAACCTGACTTAATGCCTAAACCCAACTATTAACTAATAACAAGCAGAAAATGAGCAGTTCATTGAGCTAATAGCCTTAATTGCTGGTAAGGGAGCACAGGGTAAAATGTAACACAGAGTTTTAAGATATTTGCTCAGGATTAACCATGGCGTGCTTCTGAGGTTTTCACCTCAGTGTTGGCAGACAACTTCCTGACAATTAAATGTTTGTTGAAATTTGGATGGGAAACACAGGAGGATTTTTAAAAAATCTGTAAAAATATGTACGTAAAATCTTATATTGTTATTATTACGTCTTCTAGGCTACAAGATGGAACTATTTTGAAAAACAGTGACTGCTAGCCAGTTTTGAGGAAAACAACACAGCAGGGTTAGTTGTAACAGGGTGTTATGAATAAGTCACATACTGTTGGCCAATTAAAGTAACAAAATAATGGTAACACTTTATAATAACACACACTAGGAATCATTTATTAAGCATCAGCAAATAGTTAATTCATTATCTGTTAAGCATTAACTCTACATTATTAAACATTAGTAAGCAGTTTATAACTGCAGCTACAAATGCTGTACAACCACATGTATAATGTGCTTAATAATTGTACTTTGTACTTAATAATTCATACTTTGTTAATGTTTTTTTATTACTAAATGAAGTATTGCATTATTTACAAACCAGTTATTTAAGCATAGTTGGTGTTTTTTTAAGATCATTCAGAATGTGTAAGTAAATGATTAATAAACTATTGAAATCAACATTTATATATCTTAATATATAATCTTCATAAATAGTCCTCACTTTAGATTAGGTCACAAAATTGCATGAAGTTGAGTTAACATAGCATTTTTAACATACATAGTAACCATTAATATATGCCTGAACAATAAGATGTATAAACCTTAATTTCAATAGTTTATAAATCATTTACTAACTCATTCTGAACGATGTTAAAAACCTCCAACTACTCTTAAATACAAATGGTTTGTAAATAAGGCAATACTTCATTTAGTAATGAAAAATAAATCATTAACAAAGTATGAAAGTACAATTATTAAGCACATTATACATGTGGTTGTAAGTCAAGAATACAGCATTTGTAGCTGCAGTTATAAACTGCTTACTAACGTTTATTAATGTAGAGTTGATGCTTAACAGACAATGAATTCACTAGATGCTAATGATTACTTAATATTTCATAGTGTGTAGTTATTATAAAGTGTTAGCGAAATGTTTTTTTATAGGAAATATTTTTAATAGAAAAACATATTTTATTGCTAATAATTCAAATCAAGGCATTGTATAATAATGGATAATAAGGCAAATAAATAGATGAGCTTATCCATTCATTCATTCCTTTTATTTTTGGCTTAGTCCCTTCATTAATCAGGGTTTACCACAGCGTAATGAACTGCCAACTTATCCAGCATATGTTTTACACAGCAGATGCCCTTCCAGCCACAACCCAAAACTGGGAAACATCCATACACTCTTACATTCAAACACATACAATATGGCCAATTTAGCTTATTCAATTCCAATATAGTGCATGTTTTTTGGACTGTGAGTAGAAAATAATGAAAATTGCTACTTAAAATGTAAGAAGAAGATGATGATGAGGAAGATAATGAAGAAGATGAAGAAAAAGAAAAATAAGTAAAAGAACAAAAAGACACAAACAAAAAGTCAAAAAGAATAAAAGTACAACAAAAAGCAGAACAAAAGAAGAACAATAACAAGAAAAGAAGAGAAGAAAATGATAATGAAAATATGATGGCAAAGAAGATAGTAAAAGTAAGAAGAAAGTAAAGAAGTAAAAGAAAGTAAAATAATATATAAAAGAACAAAAAGAACGAGGAACAACAAGTCAAATAATAAAAGAACAACAAAAAGAAGAACAAAAAGAAGAGAAGAAAATAATGATGAAAATATGAAGATAAAGCAAAAGAAAAAGAAAAAGAGGAAAAAAGAAGAACAAAAAGGACAACAACAAAAAAAAGAGAAGAAAATGATAATGAAAAATATGATGAAGATGATGAAGAAAAAAAGAAAACAACAAGAACAACAACAAGAAAAAAGAGAAGAAAATGAAAATTAAAAATATGCTGAAGATGAAGTAAAAAAGAAGACAAAAGAAGAACCACAACAAGAAAAGAAGAAAAGAAAATGATGAAAATATGATGCTGAAGAAGATGAAGTAAAAGAAAAAGAAAAGACCAAGAACAAAAAGAAGAACAACAAAAAAGAGAAGAAAATGATAATGAAAATTTGATAATGAAGATGAAGTAAAAGAAAAAGAAAAAAGGAAGAACAAAATTGAACAACACAAAAAAAAGAGAAGAAAATGATAATGACAATATGAAGAAGATGAAGTAAAAAAGAAAAAAGAACAACAAAAAAAGAGAAGAAAATGTTGATGAAAAATATAATAAAGTAGATGAAGTAAAAGAAACAGAAGAAAAAAAGAACAAAAAAAGAACAAAAAATAATAACAAAAAGATAATGACGATGATGAAGAAGAAGTAGTAGTGCTTATAGCTGTGTGTTCATCACACTTTTAGAATGTTTATCAGCAAGTCAGAATCAAGCATTCAACAGGCCCGTATAATGAGAAACAACATTTTGGGTTGATGCTCGGGGGGTAATTATTGAACGATTAAAACATTATTTGCTCAATCTACAGTGCTGATGCATGAATAGCCACACATTTGACTAACTCTGCCAGTGTAAGAGAGTATAAATCAGCTCTGCTGCACAGACACTCTTCCACTCATGTTATGTCGAATAGTGTTTATTCAGCAATTTGTGTTAATATCTTACATCTAATTAAAAGTTAGCCAACCAAGGGATACTAATTCCCCGTGGTAATATTTATATTAAGCAAATAATTGGAAAACACAATAAAGATGAAGCCTTCTCAGCTTTCCCTCCTCATGCCATCATCAGAACTCTGCAGTTCATCAAAGCGTTTCATTAAGTCTCACTTCATTAAGAAAACTGATAATGATACAAATTGGTGCTTTTGCATTGTGTTCATATTGAACACGATCAGCTCTGTATTAATATTTCTACACATTCAAGCACTGTGAGGGTGGATTCAGTTGAGATTTCTGCAGATATTCAGGCTGACCTCCAATTTGTCAAATATTATTATATTAGACAGCTGTCGTCATCTTTGAGTACTTAACACTGCTAGTACCCTTTGAAGGTTTAATGAACTTGCCCACAAATGTTAATCTTTTATTGCTCCCAATTAATCTCAGCACTTAATCCTCGCCCCTCCCCAAGAACTGTGGTTATACGTAAGGTGTCATTTGCATGGATGATTGCCATAAAAATGACCTGTGAGATTCCTGCAGTATTATAAAACACCGCCGCAGGGCTATTGAGCTACACACATCCGGTCTGCTCAGTGAAACACTTTGCACCTGATAGAAAAGCACCAAAAGCTGTTTTTAACTCATGTGGCGACATATTTCTGACTAAGAATGGGGAATAATGTACAGCTCGAATTTATGAATCAGCCTGTTTTTCATTTAATTTGCTTTCTTTGAAAAAAAAAAAGCTATTAGTGAGATTTCATCATTTGTTCAATTCTGCTTTGAGATCAAACATTAAAGTTCTGGTAACAACAGCAACAACAATAACAACAATAACAACAACAACAAAAACAAGACAAGAGATTTTTTTGAAATTTCAAGATTTTAAGGCTGAACGGTATGAAATGCAATCAGTCTACAGAGACTTCCCATTGTGTCTCACACTAACATTTAATTATGTTAAAAAGCCAAAGCGACATTGTGTTTTTCTCCTCTAAGGGCTTATTATGCGGTCGTTGTCGCCATCTTGTGGATGGTGTTGTGTCTCCAAAATTATAAATATTTAAAATAGACACTGTCGTTATATATATATATATATATATATATATATATATATATATATATATATACATATATAAAAAACTGCATAGTTGCAACCTAAACAACTACATTCTCTAATAAAAAAAGCCTCAAAAGTACATTATGTTGTCCAACAGCTGCAATATTTGTAAAGCGAGTTTTTTGATCTCCTGTCACTCTATGTGGGTGAAGTAATACAGGACTGTTATATATATATAGCTCCCCTGTTTATTTTTTCCCCTAATTTCTGTTTAGCAGAGAGAACATTTTTTTCAACACATTTCTAAACATAATAGTTTTGATAACTCATTGCTAATAACTGATTTATTTTATCTTTGCTATGATGACAGTAATTTCCTAGAGATGGGTTGCGGCTGGAAGAGCATCCTCTGCGTAAAAATGTGCTGGATAAGGTGGCGGTTCATTCCTCTGTGGCGACCCCGCATTTATAAACGGACTAAGCCGACAAGAAAAGGAATGAATGAATGAATAACAGTAAATAATATTTTAATAGATACTAGGTAATTAGACAAGTTATTGTATAATGATGGTTTGTTCTGCAGACTATCAAAAAATATATAACGTAAAGGGGCTAATAATTTTGACCTTAAAATGGTTTTTAATAAATTTAAAACTGTTTTTATTTTAGCTGAAATAAAACAAGTAAGACTTTCTCCACAATAAAAATAATATCAGACAACACTGTGAAAATTTCATCGATCTGTTAAACATCATTTGGGAAATAAAATAAAAAAAATAAAATACAAAATAAAAGGGGGGCTAATAATTTAGCCTATAATTATATTAAGCTAATAATAAACTTCAACTGT